ATATATATATGTAACTATTTTAAATTATTAATAAAGATATAAGTAAGGCCTCACCTTAATACCAAAAAAAAAAAAAATTCTTTTATCTTAATAAGAGAAGATATTCAAATTCTTTTTGGACAAATTTCTAGTTGGATTTCAATCATATTAGATCTTTGAATTTCTTATACAAATATGTTCTTTCTTAAAGTTACTGTATATTGAATTAACAGCAATTGGAACTTTAAAAAAATATTAGTTGATATATGTCTGCTATTACATTCACATATTAGCGAGAATATTGAAACATAATTAAAATTTATTTTAATAACTTTTAATATAGATACAAAAATATTTTGTATAACTACAAATAGTAGATCTAATGTTATTTCAGCAATCTATTTATTAAAGATGCACTTAACTATGCAAAATTATTATTTTTATTTACATCATTGTCTTGCACATATTTTATATCTTATTATTATAACAGAAATAGCATATATTAAAATATAAATAGAAAAAATACATAGATTTGTAAAAGTTATTACATTATTATCTACAATTACACAAGATTTTAAAAAAATTGAATAGTCAGTTGGTAAAGGTGAAATAGTTTAAAAATTTTTACAAGATGTATCAACCTAGTAAAATAGTATTTATCTTATGCTATTAGTTTATATATCTATGCTTACAACAATAGTAATAGTTATAAGACATTATAGTAATCTTGCTTATTATAGGCTTACTTAATAAGAAGATTCAAATTTTCAAGTTGTAACTCAGTTTTTGTAACTATTTTATGAAATTACAAATATATTTTTAAGCAATATATATATAACATTAGGTCTTTTTATTTTATTAATAAATAATATAATTGATCTTATAATATCATTAATTTAAGATTTATTAAGTTCACAGTTTTTTAAAACTGCTATAATGCAAATAATAGAAAAATTTAATCAATATATAGTTCATATTTATGATAAGTCAGTTTTTATGACTTTAATTCTCAACTTTTAAATAAAACTTGAATTAATGCCAACTAATATAAATATTTTAGAAAACCAAAATTATTTTAATTAGGTTTTTTATGACTATTTAAAGTCTTAATTAAATAATTTATCTACTGACCTGGTTTCAAATTCTGAAAAAATATCAAATTCAATGATATATATAGAACAAGTTGCTCAAAAATAACATTGGCTTAATATTTTAAACACTCCAACAGATGAACTTTCCAAATATTTAAATGAGGCAACTTTACCTATGAGCATTAATCCTTTAGAATGATGAAAACTTAACAGTTTTTACTTTTCAAATATGTTACAAATAGCAAAAGATTTTCTTACTATTTAAGCAACATTAGTACTTTTTAAACAAATATTCTCAAAAGCAGGTGATACTATCTGAGCTAAACATATGTCTTTCTGAAAAAAACATACAAACATTAATGTGTACTGGTTCATAGTTAAAACATAGTATTAAATTTCAACAGGATTGATTTTTTTTTTAAATATACTTTATTTTATTTTTTAAAAATATTTTTTTTAAAGCTTTTTTTTTCTTTTAAAAAATATTCATTTTTTTAAAAGTTTTTTTTTTCTTTCAAAAAATATTTTTTTAAAAAAAATGTATTCTTATACTATGCTATACATGCTTGCAAATTATAAATTATAAAGATATTTATATGCATATAATATATATTTCTTCTAAAATAATTGGAAAGTAGCTCGGCTAAAAAGTAACTCAGCTAAAAAGCAGCTCAGCTCCATTATAATTGAGCCGTATCTGAGCTGAAGCCAGCCATTTGCATCACTACTAAAATGTAATCGCATGAGTCTGGCAATCTAGATCATAATAGTCGACCCCAAACCCAAATTAGGGGGTCGTTTAAAGCCATGCGTGTTTGGTATAAATTTACATTCTGCATAATTACTTCTTGATTTCTATATAAACTATTAACCATAATTGCATCAAAAAAAAGTAACTCTAACGCACACGGCTTTAGACGACCCCCAAATTAGGTATAAATCCCATATTGTCTCATTCAAGTTTGGTTAATGTTCTAAATTATCAAATACAGCTTTTAACCAATCAAATCTTAAACTACCACAAATTTCTAACATGAAATTTTCAAAAACCCAACTGGTTATTAAACGTATAAAAAAATTTTTAACAAGTTTTCAAACTTTGACCCGGCCGGGTTATGAAAACAATTAATTAATTTTGCATGGCCTCAGCATGGAACTTTTGGACATAGGACGACATTGTGCAAATCCTGATTGCAAACAATTAGATTATCTTCCTATTAAATGTCAGTATTGTAAAAAAGATTTTTGTTTCGACCATTCAAAGCCCAGTGAACATAATTGTAGCGATGCACCTAGTGGAGACGGCGAGCGGGTTCCAGTCTGTCCCTTGTGTGGAGTGCCTGTTCCGATTGTCAGAGGCGAGGATCCCAATATTAAGGTGAGTTACAGTTAAACTTCTAAGCATATGTAGGAACAAGAATCCTATAATGCAGCATTCACTTTTTTTTATTAATACCATTTCAGATGAACGGTCATATAGCAAAGGGTTGTCACCCACCACCTGCAACTAATTCATCGAAGCCATTCAACTCATGCTCTTTTAGTAGATGTAAAGAAAGGGTTGCAATCCGCGTGATTTGTTCAGGATGTGGCAAAAATTATTGCATAAAACATCGGTTAGAACCCGATCATATGTGCGATAAAATTAAAAAGGACATTAAAATAAAGCCATCCGATTCAGAGTTGGTAACGAGTGAACCCAAATCCAAATCCACACCCAAGCCCAAATCCACAGTAAAGAAACCTAAAAAATCCATCAAAGCTTGGTTTAAAAAGATATTTAAATAATGAAATCGAATTTGGAGTTTCTATTAACCTAAACCCACTTATACTTGTTTATAATAAATTTTACCCTAAAGAAAAGCTAAAAAAAACACATCCCAAAAATTTGTATTTTTCGGTGGCTTGTCTATTTTGAATTTTTCAAAATTTTAATCTACCACAATTACTAATAACTAGACATTATACCGGATAATTTACTATAGTCATATAATAACAAATCCTTTTAGGGTACAATCCTATTAATAACTTCACGTCATTGTTGAAATCTCTTTAATTTAAACATGTATATTTTTTTAATCCATATTTTTTTATCTTCCGATTGATTATAATATATATATTATATTTAATTAATTAAATACATAATCTATTTTTTATTATATATAGAAAAATAATTCGACGCATAATACATCAGCACGGAGGAATTTCTCACCGAGGGTTAATACTTTACCTATATCTAATATCTAAAATATTAATATCCTGTATTATTATTAATAAAATAGTCTATATTTAATTTTAATAGTTACAGTCGTTTACTAAAGTAAATTTATTTCTGTCGTTGTATAAAATAGCCCCTACATAGGGTTCGTGGTAGAGGCCTGCATTAAGACCCTAGTGTCACCAACTTAAAAAATTTCACCAAAGATTAGAGTTTGCTATTAAGTTAGGTTAGAAAGAGTTCTTTTAATACCAAGATTTCGCAAGGAAAACTTTTTATTAATGCGCGGAAGGCAGTTTCATAGGTAAAATCTTGAGTTATGAATAGAGTTTAGGGCACAGAGATATGAGGCATGCCCTTAAGGGCATGCCTTAACAGGATGATTATTAAACTAATTCCCCGATCACTATATCAAGATCACAGGAGGATTAATTAATAATACCCTGACCGTATGTGAATAAGCGGAAACGAAGTTTCTGCTAATTCCCAACGGATCAGGATATTATTATTACTAATTAAATCAAATCAAAGTTTTAATTACATATAAAATTTAGTGAATTGATATCTCTACACTCTTTTTTGATATCACCACACCCTTGCTAACTCTAATTCTAACCCAAACTTTAATAATTTATATTAACAAGAGTGTGGCAATACGTATTAAAAAGAGTTTAGAAATATCAATTTTTAAAATTTTTTACAAGTTTTTAACAATTTTAAAAATTTCAAAAAATATTTTTTTACAATTTTATTTATTAAATTTTTTTTTTTTTTTATTAAACAAATTATTAAATAGTTTATTTGGTTTTATTTTTACTAAATGTTATTTGTTTTTTATTATTTTATTTATAATAATTTTTTTTATTTTTTTTAAATTGTTAATTTTTATTAAATAGAAATATTTGCTTAATGTTTAAAAAATATAGTTTTAAGGATATGATAACCTAGTGAAGTGGTCAGGTTGTCAACCTTCCAAGTGATAGGTTGGGTGTTTAAATCTCATCAATGATAAAAATTTGGATAATTATCTATATAATATTTGTATTATAACAACTGTTACTAATAATTGAATTAGGATATTTGTAATGGTAATCATACTAGCATGACTAGCAAGTCATAAGGCATTTGTATAATTTGTTATACAAAGAAATGCAAACT